GTGCTCGTCATCGGGGCAGGCGGGCTGGGATGCGAGATCCTGAAGGAGCTTGGGGGGAGTCGGGGACGGGCGAGGCGGAGCAGGGGCCACAGTGCGAGGGAGCGACGGTGGGGGGGGGGGGGGGGGGGGAGGGAGGAGGAGGAGGAGGAGGAGGAGGAGGGGAGGAGGAGGAGGAGGAGGAGGAGGAGGAGGAGGAGAGGAGGGGGAGGAGGAGGAGGAGGACGATGAGGAGAAGGAGGGGGATGGGCAGCGGGAGGGGAGGATGAGGAGGAGGAGGAGGAGGAGGAGGAGGAGGAGGAGGAGGAGGAGGATGAAGAGGAGGAGGAGGAGGAGGTGGAGGAGAAGGAGGAGGAGGAGCAGGAGGACCAGGAGGAGGAGGAGGAGGAGGAGGAGGAGGAGGAGGAGGAGAAGGAGAGATGGTGACAAGAGGCAAGAGGCGTGGGGGAGAAAGAGATGCGAGGTGGAGTGTTGGGGCTGAGGGGAAAGAGAGACGCAAGGGGGAGACCCACGCGGACTTCTTGCGATGGCGCCCGGACATCCCCTGGCGGCGCCTTTGGCGCCGCCTCCCAGCGCGCTTCGCTTGCCAGAGGGCCAGAAGGGGGGGCACATCGCCGGCCCAAGGAAGTTCCCGCGGGCCTCCCCACGTTGATAGTTGTGCCATTTCTTTTTGCCCTCCTGGCGGAGGCTGCGCTGAGAGCGCCGAGGGGTCCAGAGGAGGGCCAGTCGAGGCAACGGGTGAGTCGATTATGTCTCTCTACAGGGGGCTTTTTTTCAAGAGTATTAGAAAAAAAGGTCTGGTGACGATTGTTCGCGCTCTTTTGCTGATTTCCGTTTATGCTTTCCTGATTCGATCTTTCTGTCAAGATCCACCTGTAGGAGGACATGCCCGACCTGAGGCCACGGCGGTCCCCCCGCTCAAAGAATCTGCCCCCGGGCTTCTGTGCCGGCGCCCATATCCCGGCTCGTTTCTCGAGGCGGGCGGCAGCCGCGGCGGCGAGAGGCCTCACGGGAAGGCCCCCCAAAGAAGAACGACGGACCACTCCGCGGGGGGAGGGAGGGCTCGGCGCGGGCCCTCGCGCCTCCCCTCCGCCCCCCGCCATGGACTGGATTTTTTGGCTGCTTTGGGCGCCTGCTCTGGAGCGGGTGGGGCCCCTCCCCCAGAGGACGCACTCTTGCAAGAGGCCCCACCAAGCAGAGGTCCGGAGCCAGACCCCGCCCCCCCCCGGTCAACGCCCCTCTCGCCCAGTGTCAGAACGCCGAGTGAGAAAGCGTTCGCTTGAATTTGTGGCTTTTCGACTGGCCCTCCGAGCCAGAGCAGATGCGCAGAGATCGGTCTCCAGGACCTGGCCCTAACGGGCTTCACCGACGTCCACGTCGTGGACATGGACAGGACCGCGCGCCGCCTCGCGCTCGTGCGCAGGAGGGCGCGGATGGGATTGGACGGAGGAGCACGGGGGGGAGGGGGAGGGGACAGATGAGGAGGAAGGTCGGTGAGAGGAAGAGGATGAGGAGGAGGAGGAGGAGGAGGAGGAGGAGGAGGAGGAGGAGGGGCAGGAGGAGGACAAGGCGGAGGAGGAGGAGGAGGAGCAGCAGCAGCAGGAGGAGGAAGAGCAGGAGGAGGAGGGGAAGAAGGAGCAGAAGGAGCAGGACGAGGATCGAGGACCGAGGAACTAGGCTCACCTGGCCCTTCTCCTGGCACTGGAGACGGGAGGCCGGCACGGCCCCGCGGCGCTCGGGCGCTCGCAGCCGGCTGGCCCGCGAGCGGGCGCGACGGCAGCTCGGCGGCGACGCCGGGGCCGAGGCGGCAGCGGGGGCGCCGGCCACAGGCGCTGGGGCACAGAGCTCAGCGCAGGTCTGCAGGCGGTCTGCGCCCGGCAGCTGCGCGGCGCGCGCGGCCGGGAGCGCGCGCGCGAGGAGCTCGCTGGCTCGTCGGCGCTGCCGGGCTGCTGCGCCGGAGCCGCCGGGCTGGGCAGGCGGGGCGCGGTGAGCTGGCTCGTCTCGGCGCTCGTGCTGATCAGTGCGGGCGCCGTTCTGGCAGCGTTCGTCGCTCGCAGCAGGAGGAGGAGGAGGAGGAGGAGGAGGGGGAACATGAGTCTGCCGCGATCGGTTGCCTCGGTCGGCTGGGTCCTACCGCGGCCCGGTTGCCATGAGGCGCCGAGGAGAGGAGAGGAGAGAAGAGGAGGAGAGGCGAGGCGAGCAGATGGGAGGAGAGGGTGGAGGAAGAGCGAAGTCCGAGGCAGGGATTCGATCACTTTGACCCACCGCGCAGTTCCATATCCAGGGACCTCCGCGGGTGGTGGATATGGATATGTGCGGGCCTCGGGACGGGGGAGGATCTATCCGTATCATCGAAGATCGATCCCCCAGGCGGTGGTCACGGATAAATCCCCGCCTCGCTCAAATGAGGAGGCTGGAGGACGAGGGGGAGTATGGGAACACGGGAAGAATGGCATGCAGCCCCTTCAACGGACACATTGTCCATCGCTGCTGACGTTTCCACCGCGTGTCGCGGCAACACGTCTGGACAGGCTGAGGCTTCGCGGAGCAGCTTGAGGTATTTGGGTTCTCGTGGACCGCCGAGGCGCCGCATCGAGGCCGGATTTAGCGCGTTTTTTAGGGAATGTTATCCGAGGGGGTTCGCCCCTTGCCGCTGGCCCCCCCTCTGATTTCCTGCATGACTCGGTCGACTGGGCTGTTGGGATGACTGCCCGATGGGTTGGCAGATTGGCCACTCGGTTGGCTGGCTCGCTGTCTGGATGCACGCTTGGCAGGCTGGTTGGCCAGCCAGCTGGTCGGAGGGCAGGGGCGCCCTCGAGGGCGCGAAGCTGTTCGCGGCCCGCGCCGCGCGGTTCGGCTCCGATCCCTCCTCCTCCTCCTCCTCCTCCCCTGGGAGGCGCCGCGAGGGCGCGAAGTGCTTCGCACGTCGCGCTTCGCGCCGCGCGGAGCGCGAAGTTGGTCACCACCCACCAAGCCACCCCAACCCAACCCGAAGGCTCAGATTTACCCTCGATTTCCAGTGGGAGGGGGGTTCGGGAAACATCGACAAAAACACGTGTGGAACCCTTCATTACCCCCCCCCCCCAACCCGAAATTCGGGTCTTGGGGTTGGGTTGGGGTGGTCTGGTAGGTAGTCCGTTGGGAGCCCTTGTGGAGGGCTGGTGGGCGCAGGCCGGCCGGCGGGCTGCGAGGCGGGGTTTGGGTGGCCGCCGGCGCTCGGAGCGCGGGGGCCCGCAGTGTGTGGCGCACGGAGGGGTCGTGGCCTCGGGAGGCGGGGCCGTGGCTTTGCGTCGGGCCTGTCTCTCTACATCAAGGGCATAAAAAAACGCCCATCCAAATTTAATTTAATTCACGGTCATTATATTGTTTATTTGCATTTAATGAAAAAACACGATTCATTGATACACCAATCCATCCACGAAAATCATATTTTAATGTCCCTGGTTTACGAGGCGCTGTGCGCTGAAACTCCTGTGGGCTGACGGGGTAAACCCTGCGTAATGTGCCGCGCCCTGGCGGCTCTAGACTTTGGGGGTTCCCAGGAGGTTTACAGCCCACGCACTTGTAACCCAGGGTAGGGTCGTTTGGTCATCCATCAACTACAGGAGGAGAACTCAAACATAGAAGAAGAAAAAAACAAAACAAAAAAAAACGTCTGGGAACGATTTGTTGTTGATCATGTTTGGGCAGTTGTGGGGCATGTTTGGAGTAGTCTCTCTACACCTTAGGCGATGCTTAAGAAAGCTTAAGATTTCGGCCAGAGTCTCGATTATTCTTAACGTTTCAGTGTGAATCGTAAGATCGTAAAAGGAATTCTGGGTTTTTACTCAAATTCTGGGACTCTGAATTTCTTAACCCATGATTTTTTAAGCATTTCGCAGGGTGTACAGGAGGAGAAATCAAAACTAGTATAAACATCGTCTGGGTACGATTTTGTGTTGATCATGTTTGGGCATTTTTGGGGCATGTTTGGAGTATTTCTTTAACTGTTCGTCGAACATCCGCCTGCAGGGGGACGGGCCCGACTTGACCGTAGCTCCGTGAGCGCAGTCCACTCGTCGCTCAGGGACAGCGGATCCGTCCTGGGATGCGGCCGTACAGGGTCCGGCTTGAATATTAGGGGAACAAAAAGTGGCATAAACACAAAAACTCGGAGGTCCGCGCGGATTTCTCGGATCGGCGTTGGGGCCCCCCGGCGGCGCCTCTGGCGCCGCTCCTGGCGCGCTCCGCGCGCCAGGGAGGGGGGTCCAGCGCCGATCCGAGAAATCCGCGCGGACCTCCGAGTCTTTATGTTTATATCATTGTTTGGTCCCCTAGAATAAGGAAGAATAAGGAACACTTACTTTTCAAAAGGGGTTCGGTCGTTCATTTGGTCTGAATGCGCTCCGCTACCTTTTGGGGGACGAGCCCCCCTGATGTTCCTTCGGTCTTCCTAGAACTACTCAGAAAAAATGAGTTTCGTTCCTCATTCCTTGTTCCTTAGGTCAGGCCGAGTGCTGTACTTGCCGGGAATGCGGATCCACGATCGGTGCCATGGATTCCATGGATCGCCGCCTCGGAACGTGGTTTTACACACGGGGGGGGGGGGCGGGGCCTCGAAGGCGCTGGCCAGTCGATGGGTTGCCGGCCGCGATCCGTCGTTCTGCCAGGAGTCGTGGTTTCGAGGGTGCGGGTCCGTTATTTTGCTCGAGGTCGAGGAATCGTGGCCTCAAGGGCGCGTGCCCATAGTTTGGTAAATTGCAGTAGGTCACCGCCCACCAAACCACCCAAACGCAACCAAACCACCCCAACCGCCCGGTGTGTCCTCCATTTCCAGTGTTGGGGGGGGCGTCGGGGAACATTGGAAACACACATATGAAGCCCACAGTTGTGACCACGAGGGCGCGGACGCTTGCTGGTAAAGAAAGAGGAAGGGCCGGGGCCTCGAGGGCGCGGGCACATCGTTGTTTACAAGCGGTGGCCGCGATGGCGCGGATCCATCGTTCTCGATCTACATATGGACCGTGGCCTCGAAGGCGCGGATCCAATGTTTCTAAGTTGGGGATCGTGCTGTCGGGCCCGACTCGCCGCTGAATGACGTTCGCCAGCGGCGAGTCGGGTCCGGGCATGACGTATGACTGCGGCGAGTTGGGACTCACAGAATTGCCGTGGCCTCGGAGGTGCAGGCTCGCAGCTTTTGACAGCGCATCGCAGCCTCGAGGGCGCGGATCCACGGTTTGTGTTGGAAGGGACCATGGCCTCGAAGGTGCAGACAGATGTTTACTAGGTGCCCATCGGTCGTTGAACCCACGTTTTTTGGGGACTCCCGGATCCCCAATCTACTGTAGGCGCCTTCCTGCTTCCATCAGCGAGTGTGTGTTCCCTTTCCATTCATGTGTACGGGGCGGGCGGAAGCCCAGTGGGTACTTATCGTGAGCTTGGTCGCACGGAGCCATCATCAAATGCTTCGCGTGCCCCCAGGTACCCAGGAGACGAGGGACCTCGGCTCAGGGGCTGTGAGGGCCCCTATTCGGGCCGAGGCGGTGGCGCGCTTTCGCCGTGAGGCATACGCACTGCCACATAGCTACCTGCTGTAATTCAGTACGGCATACCATCCACTCGATCATTGTTCCCCTGGATTCGCTGACTCTGGCTGCGGTCTTCGATAGGCTCGCCGCAATATATCGATTAATGCATGGCGCAGGATTGATGTCACGAACTTGAACCGGCAGTTCCTCTTCCGGCAGGCCGACGTGGGCAAGCCGAAAGCGGAGGTGGCCGCAGCGTTCGTGAACAGGCCCGTGGGATGGGTGGCGCGATGCCGACATCTGAGTTTCTTGTGATATTAAATTTTCGCTTGGGAATCGTCACTCTTCTCGCCATCCGCACGACCACGCCGTTTCCGGTCATCTGCTCACACTCTCTCGGACAATATTTAGCGAGAGGAATTCTATTGAGGGTGGAGACAGCGAAACGAAGGAGCGGCTCTTGATGCACGCGGGATCCGTGTTCCGCAGTTCTCAGCGGCCCTGCGTTTTGTCTCAGCCCCCAGGCCAGTCACAACCCGGGAGAGTTGTGCTCCTAGACCCTTTGGAGGATTCGGTGAACAAGTGTTTCGACGCCGAAATCCCCATATGTACATATATTGGCCTACTCATTTCCTTCTGCAAACACCTGTGCGCGAGAGAGTCTGAACATGAACGGGATTGAGTCTGATAATTTGGGAACAGGTGGGTCTGAGTGTGAATGAGTCTGAATGTGAGTGGGTCGCATGAGTGTGAGTGGATGTGAGTAGTCTGAATGTGGATCTGAGCGTGAGAAGCATGAGTGCATTTGAGTGTGAGTGGTCTGAGTGTGAGTGTGAGTGCGTGAGGTCTGAGAGTATGTGAGTGTGAGTGTGGGTGTGAGAGGTCCGAATGGTCTGAGGGTGAGTGTGAGTGGTCTGAGTGTGAGTGGTCTGAGTGTGAGTGTGAGCTCAGGCTACGTGCGCTGGCACCGAAACGGGCAAACCCGTTGATACCTTCCCACAATCTGGGCACCTTGGGGTGCTGGAACCAGCGCCCCGCCTGAGACATCCTCACCATCTGCTCCGAACGCAAACGAGTCTGGGGTCCGAACCAGACAACCTCCTGAGACGTCCCCGCAAGCTGGGCCCGAACGGGCCCGTGATATGCCCCCTGGCTGCTCCCCATTTGGGCGGTGGAACCAGCGTTCCGCCTGAGGCATGATCACAAACTGCTCTAAAAGCTGAGGATGTGGCGCATGCAAACAGGCGCACCGCCCGAGACATCCCCACAATCTGGGTGCGATCCCTGAAGTGTCCCCACCCTGGCGGCTCCCCATTGGGAGTGCGGAAACCAACGCCTCGCCTGAGACATCTTTTCGAATTGCTCTGGCAGCAGAGGATGTTGCGCATGCAAACACACGAACCGCCTGAGCCATCCCCACAATCTTGGCCCGAATCCTGGAGTGTCCCCACCTGGGAGGATCCCCCTTGGGAGTGCTGAAACCAGCGCCTCGCCTGAGACATCCTTGTAATATGCTCCAGAAGCAGAGTATGTTGCGCATGCAGACATGCGAACCGCTCGAAATATCCCACAATCTGGGCGCGAATGCTGGAGTGTCCCCACACCTGGCGGCTGGCCATTGGGGTCCCCAAGCGCTACGCTGGGAGAAGCTCGAAGTGAGTCTGCGTATGAGTGAGTCTGAGTGTAATCGAACACGGTTAGTGAGTGAGTCTGAGTGAGTCTGGGTGTGAGTGAGTTTGAGTTTGAGTCTGAGTTTGAGTGAGTCTAAGTATGAGTGAGTGTCGGTACGAGTGAGTCCGACTACGAGTGTAGGTCGCCGCTGCGAAGGTCCGGCCAGAATGCAGCGCCTCCCGTGAGGAGGCGGGGCCCCGGTGCGACGCCGTCAGTGGCGCTGCGCCGACGGGAGCGGAGACGCCAAAGGGGCCCGTTGGGCCGCGAGGATAACGCTCAATACAAAAAATGGGAGAGAACGATTTAAAACATAGTTTTTTTGCTATTTCCGCACAAATTTCGGACTGGAGGAGAACGACTAAAACATAGTTTTCGGCCAGTTTTTTCTAATCGTCATCCCGGGCGCCGCCGCGTGAACACGACCCCCGGTCATTTATTTCGGGGGCGGAAAAGAGGGGGGTGATGACTTTTGCCTGTTCGGTGCCCCGTGACTGGGGGAAGGAATCGGTAAGGAACTGTTTTTGCCTCCAAGTCCAAGGCGGTGTCTCCTGCGCTGGCAACATGTGCCTCGTGTGGGGTGCCTCATGGAGCTGCAGGCCGGCCTGGCCAGGTCCGTGGCGACCCAGGAATGGCCGCCAGGAGCACTGGACAGGCGCAACCCCCCCGAAGGGAAGCGGATTGCAGCAGGCACGGAACAAAAATAAGGGTGCGGGGGGTGGGAGCGCTAGACCCCGACCCTTGAAACAGGGCGCCTGCGCGCGAGCCGAATCCAGCAAAACGCACGAGGGGCCCGAAAGGGAGACGAACCGAATCCCGCGAACCCGCAGAAGCCCCTTTCCCGAGCGCACAGCCCCCTAAGAAAGGACGCCTTCTGCCTGTTCGGTGCCCCGTGACTGGGGGAAGGAATCGGGAAGGAACTGTTTTTGCCTCCAAGTCCAAGGCGGTGTCTCCTGCGCTGGCAACATGTGCCTCGTGTGGGGTGCCTCATGGAGCTGCAGGCCGGCCTGGCCAGGTCCGTGGCGACCCAGGAATGGCCGCCAGGAACACTGGACAGGCGCAACCCCGAGGAGGCGAGTTTTTACAAGCTCCCAGTGAGGCGCCTCCACAGAGGCATAGGTGAAACACGCGTATGATGATGAGTGGTGGCTGGGACCGCCACGCCACTCGAAGCTGTAGACACGGCGCGTAACAGCTGATCGCACCGTTCTGAATCTGAGAAACGAGCGTAAAATGCTCGCATGGTTTCAGGGGCCGACCAGCCGCCCTGAGCCTGCACCAACTCTTCCGGCAAGCAGCACTCTGTCTTGTACCAGTGAGCACCGCCTTTTCGCAGTGAGTATGTCCCCACTGCGGCGGTCTGAAAGGACTGCGAAAGATCTCGGCGGAAGGAGTCGCAATTCATGGGGCGGGGCTCCGCCAAATGAGTCGTGCAAAACACGGGCGCATCCGGGTCGGAACCCCAGCGTGAGTCCCGCTGCGCCAGCCATTCCCGCAGGACGCGGCATGGGCAAAAGCTGGGGGTGTCGACCATCTTTGGGATGTGGCACACCATGCCATGTCCGAAAGGGTCGTTCTTTTGCCGGGCGACAAAAATAGACACGAAATTGTCGTGCAAAGATATGTCTCGACGCCGGAGCGCGAGAGTCTCGGAACACCTCCGGACGCCGAAGAAAGACACAGCTGCTATAGCGACGTCCCGGACAGCGGCCAGGCTGCCTGCTTTGAGGCGTGCGGTCTGGTAACACCGCAATTCTTCGAGAGATACCGGGCGTTTTGCGTGTGACCGTGAATGGTCGGCCCGCTTCTTCAGACCTCTCCAGAATTGGGCCGACCGGTCCGTCCATGCACTGTCAAATTCGGGAGCCTCGAGACGGGGGTCAATTCAAACGGGGGTCAGCCAGGGCGCCAGATCCTGCAGGATCCTGAGAAGACCCCCTCTGGCCGACCAGGGTTAGGGAGCCGCGAGGCGGCCGCGCATATTGGCTGACCCGGGTCTGCGAAGACCTGCGTTGATTTTTTTCCCTGCGTTGCAGTTTTTGGTTTCCTGCTGACCCGGGTCTGGATTGACCCGGGTCAGAAGATCCCCGACAAATTGCGATGTCAAGTTGCGCTGCTGGTGCCAACACCGCACTGCAGCGCGCAGATTCGTAACGGATGACCAGGACTGGCCGTCCATCTGGGCAAACCACAGCATGAGTTTCATGTCTGAGTCGCACGGCAAAAGTTGCAGCCCTGAGGAATTCTCGAAAGAATCTACGGCAGTACGCAGGGAGCTGCTATACCGCTTCTTTGTGCTCTCCTCCAGGGCTGCTTGGAGGCAGCAGTGAATTGCTGATATGGCCCTGCTGCGATGTGCCCCCTGTTCCACAGAGGTGCTCTCGCGAATTAAACGCAAGAGGTCGGGGCCCTCACTCAGAAGCTGGCGCGCGCCTGGCGCGTCCATCGGCGGGGCTCGAAGTGGTTCGTGTTGCAGCGCGGGGGCCCCAACAGCCCCGTTTGACGCGCTGGGGCGCCAGCGTGCGTCGCCGGGGCGGGCCCCCCCCGGGGGCGCCGCGGATGCTTGCGGAGGCGCAGCGCGAGGCCCGTCGGAAGACGCTCTGTCGGCCGCCGGCCTGGGGCGATCGAAATCGTCGCGGTGCAAACAGGCGGGGCCGAGGCGCTGGCGGCGCGCGGGCTCTGGCGATCCTGGGCCGCGCTTCATCTCGAGCCCCAAAGGCTTTGGCGGCCATTCGAAGGTGTGTTCTACCCCCCGCCAGGGGGCAAAAAGTGCACCAATCGTACGTTTTTTGGCACGTTTTCCTGGCGGTCGGGGGCCGCCTGGGCCCTGCCGCGCGCGGCCCCCGGGGGTATTGTGGCCGCGGCAATGCTCGTGGGCAACGGTGCGCGGATCCGGTAAACCACGCGCGACGAGGAAGTGTTTTTCTTCCCTGCCAGAGCGGCAAAAAAGTGAAGCAATCGTACGTTTTTACACAGAACAGCGTTGAATGAGGCCGCCAGGGCCGCGGCCCTGGTCCCCGGTGATTTCTCTGCCCCCCAACAGTAACTAATGCGCATGGCGCGCGTGCCCGGTGACCGCCGACCCGCGCCCGCCGACGATCCTCGGGCGGGGTTGCGTGGGAAAGGGGAGGGGCGGAGCGGGAGGGGCGAAAGCGAGGGGCAGGCGAGGGGCAGAGAAAGCAGGGTGAGGGGGGGAGCATGCGGTGATGCGACGACTGGCGCTCTTTTTTTTCAAGGGCACCGGGCGCGGCCTCGGACTGGGTCGCGGGGGCTGGCCCGGGGCGCGCGCCTGCTTGAGACGCAGGCACGCGGCGGAAGAAAAGAATGGACATGCGCCGTGGACGGCCCGGCAGGGAATCTGCCGGCAGGCGCAATTAAAACTCTCGCCCCGGACAATGGCGCCGAAGAAAAGAAACGCATGTGCAGAACCATGCGCGCACCCAGCGGAGCGCCCATTGACCGGGGGCCGGCGCCGACTCGTGCGCGTCAGCGGCTCTATAGGGGCAGTCCGCCGCCCAGTGCTTGACGTCCTGGGTCCTGCCTGCCCCCTTGCACTTTGGGCAAGTGAGCGCGCAGCGGTTGCCGAGGGACTTGCACGTCG